GCAATCTACTTCCATAGTGATACTGCCTCGGAAACCCAAGGAGGGGTCGCTATGAGTCAGGTCCAACTCGACGGCACATAACAACAACAACAACAAGACCAAAGTATCCTCACCTCAGAGATCCCAAAAACAACTCAAGGGCACTGCCAGAGAAAAAGGGTCATCTTAATTCTAGAGTACTTCAACACTATTATGAGGAATTTACTTTTCCCATTAGACTTAGAAAGGAAATGGACATTATATGATGGAAACTAAACTACAGATTAAGACCAGGAGCTGGCCTCATCAAAAGTTAACTGTCAACAAAGTGATTATTTACCTGAACCCATTTAGAAAAGGCAATTTGTTCTATTACCTAAGCCACCACTTACCAAAACCTTAAAAAATCATGTCGTAGTTTATCCAGATGAGTAGTAAATGTGTGTGTGTGTGTGTGTGCGTGCGTGCTGATACCAATGTCATATGCTTTCTTCCACTTGCTGAAGGAAAGTGAGTTTGATGTTTAATATTTCAAAGCCTGGACCCGTTTTCATATTCATTTGCAAGGATGGAATATTCAGCCCTGAGATTTGTGTCAACCTGTCCTACATGCTATTATCACTATGTCATACTACTGGACTGTAATATCGACCATGGCTTCTGCCTTGTGCTATATAATTTACACAAAATCAAATATGCACAGATACAATTTGTCAGGAATGAAGAACAAATTCAGTATGTACACCAACAGAAAGACAGTAAGCAGTAAGAGGAAAGGAAGAGACAGTGAAGAGGAATGTCAGCTACTTTACCATGCTTAGGTGAGAAGAACGGTACCCTGGATCTGATCAAATGTTCTGTTCCGGATACCACAAACTGGATCGGCCTCACACGCTTCTCTGTCAGGTCCTTGAAAGCAGCCTGCTGGCTCTCAAACACACTTCGAATGTTTTCCAGCTTCAGTTGTACAGTCTGCATTTGAACCTGCAAGTTACATAAAAATTTGATGAAATGTTTTCTGAAATGAGGTCATTACAAATCTTATTATACTTCTCAGACTGTCAAAACACTAATCTAGAATTTCAAATATAACTAGAAGGAACTTAAAAAGAGAAGGAAAGCAGATTACTGTATTATCTTCACATGGTTATAAAACCAGAGGTGAAGATCTCAACCAAAACGACATGGGGAAGAAATAGACCATTTGGTGATGAGATTGGTCACTGCATAAAGTGACTGGCCCTTCATGGGCTGGAAGGGATAACAAGTGGAAGAGAAGACAATTTACACTTTCCTGTTTGGTATGACAAAACCACCAAGTTATAAAAACAATCAAATGAATAGCATCATCACAGTAGATTTAGCCTGCAAGAGACCCTCTTTATAGTTCTCCGTGGTTGAACAGGCTCCTTGAAGCCACCAATGGATAATATACCTGTCCGCCCCTTTTAGATGCTGTGAGGCAGCTGGAGTTAAGATTGGTTGCTTCCAGAGACTGGCTTGGTCAGTGCTACAGCCAGAGTTTCTAGAGGCTCTAGCCTCTAGAAGCCCTAGAGGATTCTGGGGCATCCTCTAGGATCTGCAGGTAAGCACGGATCTCTCTCCAACCTTAGAGTCAACTGCACATTCTAGCAGCAAATAGCATCACCAATACTCTGATCCGTAAGATGGAGAGTGTCTTTCATGTTCCCTCCAAGGAAGTAGGACTGCACTAACCTATAGCTCTCCACTCTGCTAACACTAATTTTGACTTATATGGCCCTTCTCCAAGCAGACCCAGGTTCTTTCTTTAGTCTCAAATGCAATTAAGTTTTATTCTCAAACTGGGTAGGAGGGCTAGATTTGCACCCAGGGAGTGTTGGTGGTCACTGCAGCATACAGGAAAGACGTTTGGGGTAGAGTGATGCCAGTCCCCATGAGGTGGAGGTTAAAGATGTCCCAGATGTCCAAACTACTGTACCACTCCATCATTTCAGACATTAACTCCTCCTCCTCCTCTC